TGAAAACCATTTATAATTAGTAAAAAATATAATTATTTAAAATAATTATTATAATAAAATCCAATAAATTATTCTATATAAAAAAAAATTAAATGATTTGAATAGATTATAATAAACATCCATCTTTACTTATGTGTGTACCCTACATAATTTCTGTTCCAAAAATCTTTTACATATATGATCTGTTTTAGTGTTGAAGACCAAAATTAATCTATGAGTTATTAATTATATCATGATCAAATTTTATTGTTTAATGATTCAAATTCAAAATTCATTTCAATATTAGTTTGATCTATAATCATAAATTAAAGTGTTCATATAAATTCATTATTCAGTTTTAAATTTCTATCATATATTACATTTTTCAATATAGTATATATATAATAGAATTATTTCTTTTTTATATTAATTTGTATAAAAAAGTTAATATTCTTATTATATTTGTTTAGTATGTATCTAATGATGAGATAAATGATGATGATACATTCATTAACACCAAGTCTACAAATATATCAATTTATTGTATAATTAAAAATATATTTAAATCATTATATTCTTAATTATGTTATTATATAAATTATTGGAGGATTATAATTGCAGCAGAATAGACCTAGTGACAGAATTAGAGACAAAAATTTTCATGACAAACAATTTAGCGATGGGATTAGCACCAGAGTTAGCGACGGGCTAAAAATTTTATAATTAAAATTAGCAACGGAATTGAATAATACTTTCAAATTAACATGCATAATTTAACCATATTTTGAATGAAGAAGAAATTTTCCAAGGATAATTTATTAAATTTGCTATATTATATTGTTTATGAAAGAGTTTAAGTGTGATTATGATAGACGAATGAAAATATTAGTTTAATCACTAAATATATTAAAATGGCATCACTTGGGACACTGACACCCTCTTCAATGGTGTTTTTCAACATCCCACATTTTTGGGTGAACGCCTTTGATGTTACATTATTTTCATAGCTTCTTCTACAAATCAATATATTGTCCCCTACCTCAAAACTCTCTCTTTATATATATATCACTAGTATAGAATAAGGAATACTTGACACTAAATACTTAACAGTTATAACAACAAACCGTCAAATATAATGTCTCAGGAGAAAACTTGATGGTTTTAATAAGAACCGTCAAGTTTCATTCGAAAATACTTGATGGTTTTTTAAAGACCGTCAAATTTTTTGCAACAATACTTGACGGTTATATTATACAACCGTCAAGTATTTTTGAGGTGAACTTGACGGTTTCTCCTTAAACCGTCAAGTTTTATAATACTTGACATTTTTTTATTATAACCGTCAAATATTATTCTAAGATACTTGACAGTTATGAAGAAAAACCGTCAAGTATTATGCTTTAAAACCCCCTTCTCTATTCATTTCGCTCTACTGGGTTCAAAATTTCTAGTGCCCCCTTCTAATTTGAACCCTTTAAACCGCCATACCCACCTCAGTTTTGGCCCTTCTCTTTTGTTTTTATTGATCGTCCTCTATCATCGTCCCTCTCTGTGTCCTCCTTCATCATTGCAGCGTCCTCCTGCATCGTCATTGTCGCGCATTGTTCTCCAGATTTGACAACTTCAGGTTGGTCCTCCTTCGTCACTTGCTCCCCTTATTTCCTTTAGTGCTTCCTTCAAAATGATTGTAATTGAAAGAGGATGATAGGATGATGTTAGGACCATTCACAATACGCAGGAAAAAAAGATCAATAAAGTGGGGAAATGACTTATTTATTGATATCTGATTCACTCTTACACATGAAAAATGGAGTGAATGTTACAACCATGATTAACAAACCCAAAAAATACTAAGCAACACTGGAAAGGAAAATACACTCAAACCACTTTATGGCTAGTATTCAAGAGACCAGGACCCTCTCCTCACGAAAACCACTCGTATCCCTAAAATGATTCCCCCTTCTGGTTTTAGTAATAATTTTTGCTCTATTACAGTTTTTCTATTCGGCCGAATGGGTTTTTTTGCATTTTGATCAGTTTTTGGGTTTAGGGTCTTTTCAATTTCTGTTTTATCCATAAATTGTTTGCTAAATTATCGAAATTGCTAATGTTTCAATTTTTGTTTCTATAATTGAAAATGACTAAGGTTTTATGTTTTATGTTTTTGAATGTTAATTAATTTGTATGTTGTTATATATTGAAATTGCCTGACTGCTGATTTTCAGCTTAATTACTACTTCATTTGAAGTTAAATAGAAGGCATAAAGCTTGGGGAATGCTAAGTTATAAGCCGTTATGCTGCCAAATTTTTTTCAAATGGAATAGCACATCAGTAGTAGTAGAATATTTTTCAAACTGAAGTGAAAGTGAATTTTTGTTGAATTACTAGTTGCTAACAACTAGAATTACTAGTTGTTAACAAGTAGAATTAAAGAGGGATAAATATGATCAATAGTGCCTCATGTATTGACTTCCTATTTTTGTTTAATTCTCACAATATCTTTGAGTCACTGATCACATTTTCCTCTAAATGATTCATCTTAGTCGGGGACCATGGGCAAGGAATGGATGTCTGCCAATCGTCTATCAAAAGAATATTGGGATGGGGTAGAAGATTTTATTAAGTTTGCGATTGAGCACGTCGATGATCGCAACAAGATTATTTGCCCCTGTCTTAAGTGTTGCCTTCTAAAGTGGGTTTCGCCATCCGATTATGAGAGCCACTTAATTATCAATGGAATTGATCAAAGTTACAAGTGTTGGACAAAGCACGGAGAGACAAGAGATGAGAGTAATAGTAGTTGAGGGCATAGTGAAAGCTGTGGATCATCTAATCTTGACACGAGTACATGTGAAGCTGACCGTCTTGAGGAGATGACAAATGCGATTGAACGGGAACTTGATAATTGTCCTAAAATGTTTGAGAGATTGAAGTGTGATGCTAAGACACCTCTATATGAAGGTTGTACCGATTTCACAAAATTGTCTGCAGTGTTGAAACTGCATAATTTGAAAGCAAGAAGTGGGTGGAGCGACACAAGCTTCACAGAATTGCTGTTGCTTGTTAAACAAATGCTACAGAAAGAAAATGAGCTTCCAAGCAAAACATATGACACAAAACAAGTGTTGTGCTTTGTCGGCCTCAACTATGAGAAAATGCATGCTTGCCCCAACGATTGCATTTTGTTTAGGAAGGAGTATAAGTCACTAACTGAGTGTCCTAAGTGTAATGTATCGCGCTACCAAGAGAATGGGAAGAGCCTGGAGAAGGCATTATGGTATTTTCCCATTGTGCCAAGATTTAGATGTTTGTATATTAATGTAGAAGATGCGAGAAATTTAATGTGACATGCTAATGAAAGGGTCAAAGATGGCATGCTTCACCATCCTGTTGATTCTCCAGAATGGAAGAAGTTTGATATTGAGTATTCTAAATTCGGGGAAGAAGATAGAAATCTGTGCCTTACATTAGCCACCAACAGGATGAACCCGTATAGGATACAAAGCAAGAACCATAGCACATGGCTAGTGATTGTGTTTATATATAACCTTCCTCCATGGCTATGCATGAAATGCAACTATTCAATGATGTCTGTGAAAATCTCTAGGCCAAAGCAACTAGGAAATGACATAGATATATATATCTAGCTCCATTAATTTAAGACTTGAAAGTATTGTGAGAGAATGGAGTTGATGTATATGATGTATATAAGGAAGAAACATTCAAGTTGAGAGCTACATTGTTTGGCATAATTAACGACTTTCCTGCGTATGGTAATCTCATAGGGTATAGCATTAAAGGGCAACTTGGTTGTCCCATTTGTGAAGAGAGCACAGATTCCATAAGGTTGAAAAATGGAATGAAAAATTCATATATGGGACATCGGAGATGGTTGCATCGTGATCATCCTTACTGGCGATTCAAAAAATATTTCAATGGGAATTCAGAAGAAGGTAAGGCACCTACACCATTGATTAGGGAGGATGTATTTCAAAAGGTGAAAGATATAGATTATGAATTTGGAAAACCTTTTGCAAAGCATGTTTGGACAAGTGGGTGGAAGAAGAGGTCTATTTTCTTTATATTGTCGTATTGGATGACCCTGAATGTGAGACATTTTCTTGATGCTATGCATATACTACTACAAAATGACAAATACTTGACGGTTATTTTGGGTCATATTTGACAGTTAAAAACCGTCAAATATTTCAATAATATTTCAACAGCAGATATTTGACAGTTATTAACCGTCAAATATTTCAATAATATTTGACGGTTTTAAATGAAGAACCGTCAATTATTATTCAAACAATTGACGGTTTTTCAGAAAAACTGTAAACTATGTGTTGAATACTTGACGGTTATTTCTGAAAAACCGTCAATTATTTTGGAACAATTATAAGTATACTTGACAGTTTTGGGAACCGTCATGTATGATTAAAAATACTTGACAGTTATTTCTGAAAAATCGTCAAGTATAATTTAATACTTGACAGTTCTATAAGGAACCGTGAAGTATTATATGAATACTTGACGGTCAAGTATTATATGAATACTTAACGGTTTTAAGTAATAACCGTAAAGTATTATGGGAATATTTTTTTAATACATGTTCTGCTTTGCTAGCAGGCCCCTGCAATTTTGAAACCGAACAAAGGCTCATTCAACAGAACCATGTAGGCCAGTATTCAAACCAATTCAACCATATACGTCTTAATGAACCAAAAATAATTTACATTATTATATATACATGAACCAAAGCCAGCTGTGATATTAAAAAAACTTTTGTTTAAGGCAAGTAATATAAAAATTCTGGACAAGTACAAAAGGTGAACCAATTCCAAAATTAGCTAATCGCCAAAGTTGTGTAATGCCAAAAACTAACCAACAGCCAAAAATGAACCAAAACCAAAATTGAAACCAAAGCTGTACATACAATGTCTTAATGTACACTTCCCTATCTATTTTGTTCCCACTGACGGAATAAGGCCATCGCCAACTCTTCAACAATTTCTTCCATCTAAGAAGATGAATACACTGTGCAATATGTGTCGGCAAAGTACTGTATACAACCACAAATTATGACATAAGTTAGATATAAATGTAAAGCTACAGTAAGTACAATTCTTAAATATATAAATTGAACTTTAACAAATGCATATTACCTGCGTAGGGATTGTGTCAGCATTGTGCATAATTATCTCCTTCATAAATTTCATCACGTAACATCCACAATGGGAGCTTTTTTTGGGCTGACGTGGGCACTGTAAAGAATGGAAAAGGAAATAATATTAGTCAATCATATAAATAAACCATATTTAGTAGAATAGTAAAAAATGGTAATGAATACCTTCACTTTCTTCTACGAGAAGGTATCGTCAAATTGGCCATTTTTTACCGGGGGCAGTGTAAGGCTTGATTTGTGCAGTATAGCCACAAAGCCCTGAGAAGACAATAAAATTGAATATTAATGATTGTCAAAAATTAGATTGAAGTAAGAAATTAAATTTAAATAATAGATATAAATGTTACTTGTTGAACAATGAAACCATAAATGGTCGATTGGTTGGATCCCCATGAAGAGAATCAAGATACCAAATCCTCGGCTTTGTGGGATTGACCACAATCAGCATCCAGTGTCCCCTAAGTATAAGAAAGACAATTAGAACAATTACAAATTATTTTGAAAATGAAAGAATTTAGGAAAGTTCAGTATACTACATACGTACCCTTGACAGTAAGGGGCCAAAAACAAAGTCTGAGCCCCCGGTGCTGCCCTAGAAATGAAGATATCTAACAAGTCTATGGATAAGTCTTTCTTCATATCAGGTCCGTGGCCAGCAAAAGTGTGGGGGTTGATAATCTTGAACTTGTCATCAAGGCCACTGGGGGCTATAAAGTTCTTGAAAAGATATCTAAATCAACAAACAAAGATATCAATAGGATAAATGCTCAAGTACTTAAGTATTTAGTCAAGGTTTTAACAAATACCTGATATAAAAGTTACAGGCATTTGTGCTGGCCATTCCATGCGTTAGAATTTCTTTCAATACTTTATTCGTGATGTAATCTGACGAGGGTCGACCGTAGACCTCTAGCTCAAACTCTAGGGGAATCATGAAATCCTCGCTATGTTCTAATCTGGCCCCAACTGCATATTCCTCAAGACATATTCGGAATCTTGATGATATCGCTTGAACGGGCTTAGAGGGCTGCTTCTGTGGCGATGATAATGAGTGATCACCCAATAGGCTCTTCTTCCCCTTAGACTGACAAACAGACTGTTAGTAATTAAAATAGAGTTTATTTTAAATCAATTGAATGTGTAGACCTATACATATATACCTTTGAAGGATGTCCTAATGTAAGAAGATGAACAGGCCAAGTGACAAAGCTACCCACTGCTTGAGCCACTATCTCTACATCTGGGGTGGGCATCAGGAGGGCATAATTCGCATCAATAGTAGTGTTCAACTGCACCCTCACATGATTAGCAGGGAGAGGCACATTATGAATCATACTCTCGCCCAGTAAATTGAACACGCGGCCCGTTGCAACAGTGTGATGTTTAGGGCTATCCGCCATACACTGAACGTCTGCTTCACCCTAATTTAAGAGAGAAAACTTAGCTAGATATATAAATTATTGAATGTAATTGTATAAACACAAGTATTATACCTCAGGTAGCAAGGGGAATGTGCAGCTGTCTTTGCCACTTGGGCTAAGATTCAGAGCCGGCTGTAGTGCTTAATTCTTGATCAACTGCTCGATTAGGAGCGCTTGCGCTTTAACTTGCTCCTTTAACCAGCGTGTTTCTTCCTTCAGCTCCATGAACTCAGCAGAGGAAGGCGTGCATGATGAAGAGGGCTTTTGTCAGTACCCGAAGTAATCCCTCTTGGTGACTCCATAACCAATGCCCCTAAGAAGACCAGGATGGTTAGGAGTCCCCAATGCCCTCCTCAATATATCCTGGTCGTCTACAGAATATGCCCCCTGCGAAACTTCCTGGGACAAACTCTCCTGTGCAACAAACATTGACATAGTTATTCATACTTAAAGATATTTGACAATAACGTGAGGATTAGTTAATTTAGAATAATACTTACCATCTTGTCCACAACCTCCTTAACGCGAGAATTATCAATTTGGCCATCTTTATTTTGCCTAGCCAATGCCCACAGCATTTGATGGGATACAGTGACATTTGATCCCTCCTTCTGAGTCACCTCTTGCTCGAGGCCCGCGTAACCCAAGCGCCCCTTTCAGTAGGGATACTCATTCTTCTTTACCCTTTCCTTATTTTGGGTACTTAATTCCTACAAAAACAAAGTAGATTCACAATTAAACAGTATATAGATTAAACAAAATGGACTATTTAATATAGAAAAGAGCGAGGATTATTACTTAAAATTGACTATCACGACGTGACGTCACAAAAGCAGCCTAATCCTCTGGTTTGACCAAGTCCCGTATCAAGCTAGGAACCTCGGACTCATCGGCTGTGGAAGGATCCTTCAAGTACTTGTGTGTCACAAAGTATCAAAAAGAGCGCAGTGCCTTCCCAACCTTCCCCTCCATAAACTTCTTCCTACTCTCATCTATATCAAATGTAGATTGCAAAACATATAAAACAACACATTAGTGTCACGCAGCTTGTAAGAAAATGAAATTTGAGTTGTTATAATATATTATCGATACATCTGTCCAAATAGCGTCTTGCACTGAACGATCAACCCTCCTCCAGTGCTGTGCTGTAATGGGCATGGTGCTTCATGCCACTGCCCCAATATAGCTAATAAATTTATTTGACCATATAGCTTGTCCTTTCTTATTCCACTGTATGGAAAATTTCTTTCCTTTCATTCAAGCTTTCACGACCTCTTGCATAACACAAAGACCCCTCTGTATGCGTGCTGCCTCGTCTTGTAACTGTCTCTCCTGGTTAGAGGCATCTCTCGGCTAAGATGGATTATCGATGCTAGATCTGCTATTGTCTGCCATCTGCAATGAAATTCAATTAAACAAAATGAATCAAAATCCATTAAATGAAAATAAAGTCATTAATGACGAAATTGACTTGAACAAAATTAAAACAAATAAAAGAATCAAAGAAAATAATAAGAGAATTTACATGCATGTTTAAGAAGATCTTTTTCTTTTTCTACTCTTATGTTTTTACATATTCTTCTTGGTTTGAATTGTTTTGATCTTCTTACGAAACACTTTCCCCCTCTTTGAAATCCATATTCTGTCATTGTGATCGTGCCTGATGTACATGGATTGATCTTCATTTAAATGAGATTCAAGTGATGTCCCTTGAAATGGATCATCTTCAACTGTATTGTCTTCATACCCCGTCTCTTCAATATTCATTTTATTAGTCAACAAAACAATAGACCATCCTTTAGTAGCCGGGTCAGGGACATAAAACACTTATGTAGCTTGAGAAGCCAAAATGAATGGCTCTTCCTTTTATCCTTCCTTATTCAAATTCAATTGTATGAACCCTAAGTCATCAATTCTCAATGCATTATTATTATCCACCCACTTGCAACCAAATACCGGAACTCTGAATTCAATGTAATCTAACTCCCAAATATCCCCAATCACTCCAAAGTATGACATACATGCATAGATAGGATTTTTATCTTTGGCACTCGATATATGCAGGGTTTGGATCCTCTCAGAATCCTTCTTTCTCTTTTTCTTCTCAGAATCTCATCTCTACCATTGGATCAAATAATGAATGGTTCAGATTTCATACTTTATAAAACTATTATTATAACCTTACATAAATAGGAGAGAGAAGGTGGACATCTGTTTTTTAAAATATTAAATCTGAACCATCTATTATTGGATCCAATGGTAGAGATGAGATTCTGAGAAGAAAAGGAGAAAGAAGGATTCTGAGAGGATCCAAACCCATATATGCATGGTGTTAGCTACAAGAGTTACACCACTATTTTGCTATTTACTCTGATCATCTTGCTCTTTTGTATAGAAAGTGAACCCATTGATAAGGTAGCTTGTGAAAGAAATCACATGTTTGCTCAGTCCATCTGCCAATAACTTTAATTTCTTTAAAACAGAATTAGGATCACTATTATACTTCCCATGCACCTGCTCTCTCAGCCATGCTGTAAATTGTTTATTGTGTGTTTTGGTATACCAACTTTCAAGTTTATTAGGATTATCCCTCTTTAGCTCATCAATATGCTCATCCACATAGTCCTCAATCACTTCAAAGTTGTGCAATACATATAGATGTGCCTACTCCCACTGTTGGTTTGAAATAGTTACAACTTTCTTTCCCATAATCCCTTCTCCATCTGTCCTTCCCTCATGACGAGACATTGGAACCCCAATATCACTTGCATTTTTTAAGTAATGGGTACAAAATTCAGTGGCCTCTTCACAAATATATCATTCTACGATACAACCCTCTGGTCGACTTTGGTTTTTCACATACCCTTTCAATATTTTCATGTAACGCTCAACTGGTTACATCCATCTTAAATACATTGGGCCACACAGTTAGACCTCTCTAACTAAGTGGACGGTTAAATAGACCATGATGTCAAAAAAGGCCAGAGGAAAATACATTTCAAGTTCGCATAACGTAACTATGATTTGGGTTTGCAATCTTGGCAATTTACTAGGATTAATCACTTTGCTACAAAGAGACTTAAAGAAGAAACATAACTTTGTGATCGTAACTCGTACCTTATCAGGTAAAATAGCCCGTATTGACACTGGAATAAAGTTTTCCATTAAGACATGATAGTCATGAGATTTTAAACCTTTTAACTTCATATCCTTCATTGAAACAAGGTTACTAATGTTAGAAGAGTAACCTTCTGGCACTTTTACTAAAGCAAGAAACTCACAAAAACTCCTTTTCTCTTTTCTAGAAAGGGTGTGAGCTGCCGGACGAAGAAATGTACAAGTTCCCTTATCCTCTGGTGCCAATTCCTCCCTTATCCCCATTTCAACCATGTCTAGCCTGGCATTTATGCCATCTTTAGTCTTCCCGGGAATATGGAGTAATGTGCCAAACAGACTTTCACATACGTTTTTCTCAATAAGCATAGCATCAAGAAAATGTCTCACATTCAGGGTTATCCAATACAACAGTATAAAGAAAATAGACCTTTTCTTCTACCCACTTGTCCCAACATGCTTCGCGAAAAGTTTTCCAAATTCATAATCTATATCTTTCACCTTTTGAAATACATCCTCCCCAATCAACGGTGTAGGTGCCTTACCTTCTTCTGAATTTCCATTGAAATATTTTTTGAATTGCCGGTAAGGATGATCACGATGCAACCATCTACGATGTCCCATATATGAATTTTTCATTCTATGCTTCAACCTTATGGAATCTGTGCTCTCTTCACAAATGGGACAACCAAGTTGCCCTTTAATGCTATACCCTAAGAGATTACGATACGCAGGAAAGTCATTAATTGTGCCAAACAACATAGCTCTCAACTTGAATGTTTCTTTCTTATATGCATCATATACATCAACTCCATTCTCCCACAATACTTTCAAGTCTTCAATTAATGGAGCTACATATATATCTATGTCATTTCCCAGCTGTTTTGGCCCAGGGATTATCATAGACATCATTGAATACTTGTGTTTCATGCATAGCCATAGAGGAAGGTTATATATAAACAAAATCACTGGCCATGTGCTATGGGTATTGCTTTGCATCCCATACGGGTTCATCCCGTCGGTGGCTAATGTAAGGTGTAGATTTCTATCTTCTTCCCCAAATTTAGGATACCCAATATCAAACTTCTTCCATTCTGGAGAATCAACAGGATAGAGAAGCATGCCATCTTTAACCCTTTCATCCGCATGCCACCTTAAATTTCTCGCATCTTCTACATTACCATACAAACATCTGAATCTTGGCACAATGGGAAAATACCATAATGCCTTCTTTGGGCTCTTCCCATTCTCTTGGTAGCACGATGCATTACACTTAGGACACTCAGTTAGTGACTTATACTCCTTCCTAAACAAAATGCAATCGTTGGGGCAAGCGTGCATCTTCTCATTGTTGAGGCCGACAAAGCACAACACTTGCTTTGTGTCATATGTTTTGCTTGGAAGCTCGTTTTCTTTCTGTAGCATTTGTTTAACAAGCAACAGCAATTCTGTGAAGCTTGTGTCGCTCCACCCACTTCTTGCTTTCAAATTATGCAGTTTCAACACTGCAGACAATTTTGTGAAATCGGTACAACCTTCATATAGAGGTGTCTCAGCATCACACTTCAATCTGTCAAACATTTCAGGACAATTATCAAGTTCCCGTTCAATCGCATTTGTCATCTCCTCAAGACGGTCAGCTTCACATGTACTCATGTCAAGATTAGATGATCCACAGCTTTCACTATGCCCTCGACTACTATTACTCTCATCTCTTGTCTCTCCGTGCTTTGTCCAACACTTGTAACTTTAATCAATTCCATTGATAATTAAGTGGCTCTCACAATCGGATGGCGAAACCCACTTTAGAAGGCAACACTTAAGACAGGGGCAAATAATCCTGTTGGGATCATCGGCGTGCTCAA